GTCAGTTGTGCTGTGGCTGCAGCCTGGAGAGACCTCAGGAGGACACACTGCACCCCAGGGCTGGAGGCACAAGCTTTTGGGCACGAGGAATGTAGAAAGGGATGTGGTCTGATGTTTTCTTCTAGATGAGAACTTGTCTTCTCAGCCTGTCTGTCCCCTGAGCCATCCCCCATCACATCTTTGATGCAGTCCCTTCCTCCTGTCCCGTCCCTGCAGGGTTCCATTGCACCAGGCGAAAAGCAAGTGCTGAAAGTCTATTACCTGCCAGGAAAGCAAGGAGTCTTCTGCAGGACTGTCCAGATCCAAGTGGCTTATCTGGAACCGGCAGAGATCTTCCTGAAAGGAGAGGGGACCATGTTTAGAATCACCAAGGACCTACCCCGGAAAAGTTCGAAAGGTGAGCACTGTCATCTTCCAGAAAGATCCGCCGGGTTTTCCGCCTACCATAGCGCATCGGGCAGCTCACAGCCACCTCCACCAAGTCTGGAAGTTTCAAGGCTGCCAGACCAACACTTTGGCCTCTCTGGTTGCTTCCTGAGTTTTGAGCAGTTGAGCCTATTTAGGCTTTCTCTCAGGAACCATCCTGCAGATCTTGCCAGCACATTGTTGGAGGCCCAGAAAGATGATGGCTAGGCAGAAAAGCTTGGGAAAGCTAGCTAGAGGCTAGCAGGGCTTTTGGCAAGGCTGGATCTGCGTGACATTGTAGGGGATGACATGGTCCCCTGTGAGGAGGAAGATAAGTGAGAACAAACATGAGGATTCAGAGAGGAGCAGCAGCATCCATTGTTTCTGGGAGAGACCAGTGTTGGGGAAGTGAGACTTCTCAGCTTAAATGGGATTGGCAATGTTCCTAGTCTTCTATTTATGGATCATTTTTTCCTTCAGGAAAGAGGAAGAAAAGAAACCTGAAGGAAGAAAAAAGGAAGAGGGATGAATCATCTGTCATCCACCCTGGTAACTGAGTCTGTCATTGATGGAGTTATTGATTGTCTTGGCTGAACAACAGGCTAGTGTCCAACATCTCCCCAGGGCCTCCTCAGCTGAGGAGCTCCCCCAGCAGCATGCTGGGTCTGGTGGAAGAGGTGGGAGGGTTATTCCCACTTGGGAAATTGGAGGAGTAGCAGCTGGGCTTCCTCTCCAAGTTGCCTTTGCTTGTGGGCTGCCCATCCTCCATGCTTTCAGATCTCACATACATACTGCCATAATCAGATGATAAGATTTCTGGGCCACTTGCTGAATTTGGAGAGCTTGTGGTGTGTTCTCTTTTGTGAATGAGAGAGCTATTTATATTTAAGTGTTTATACCTACCAAGTGAGCAGAATATTCAGTCAGTGAAGGGCCAGGCACCAGAGAACTCTTCTTCACTTGCTGTGTAAATGGCAAGAGGGGCAACTGAACTGGTGAACTTGGTGTTTTCCAAATGGCATTTTCATGATAGCCCTCATTATTCTTATATATTCTCTCATATATTCTTATATATTCTCTCATATATTCTTCAGAAGACAAACCCTGAGAAGTTCAGTCCTGAAATTCTTTCTGAAACTGGGAAGCTCTTTATGAAGAAGTTTTCTGTTGCTAAGCCTGTGAATGCTTTGACATGTCATCACGTGGAATTTCCCTTACTCTGAAGGACTCAATGAATGAATTGAAGAACCTGATGAGTGAGAAGAACCTCAAGTTCATGCAAGGTGTGCATTGGCACACCTCGTTTACCAATAAAGCAGGGAAAAAAAAAAAAAGTCTTATGTGAAGAAATCTGTGAATGCTGAGCTCTCTACCCAGGCATGACACAAATTTCATGAGATCCTGTGCAGTCTTCCTCTTCTCTCAGATGAAGCTTTTCAGGACAGAGAGCTGGATTCTGTCCTCCTCTCTGAAGCACCTGGAGCTCTTATAGCCAGCCTTAACCACAACTTGAATTCCCACCACATCCCTTGACACTGCAGTTGGATAGCTAACACACTAAACCCCCATCACAAAGCCAGTGCCACCCTTTCAATGAGCATGGGTGACCCTCTGATAGCAAAAACGTTACGTTGCTGGTACTTTGGCCCAGATAACACTGGGGATCGTGGTAGACTCATAGAGAGAAGACTCTTGGTCCAGTGTGAGGTGGATGACACTGATTACGTGGATCACGATGTCTGGTGACCTGGTGAACAGGTAAGTCTTCCCTCTCCTCCCCTTAAAATTACATTATTTAACAGTAGCTCTAAGTTGACTAAACAGAGTTTGACTTTTCTGTGTGTAAAGTTTAATGGTTTGTGCAGAGCCATCAGGTGCCAATGACAACTTACATGCTGTAGTAGTTTAGATGAAGCAGTTGCAATGACAACTAAATAAACAAACATGTTTGTAAGCAGATGTACAGACAACATCCACCTGCAGTCATCGAGTAGCAATGGCCTTTTTCATGTTTGATAGCATCTAATTTCACGTTCCATCCTCAGCTCCCTCTGAAAATACTGTAAGGGACTTGGCAATAGCAGTAAATGGAGCTCAGGTAAGTTAGGCATAAACCAGAAGGAAGCTAGATGAGAAATAACACAGCAAAAAGGCACGCAGTCTGAACAGAGAAGTTCACAGACTTTAACTGTGAGCACTTCCATTGTTACTTTAATCCCTGTCACAGCCTGGTAGTGCCCAGACTGATTTTTGATCCTGAAAGAAGCATCAGGTCTGTGACAAAGTCCTGTGTAGGCTAAGGAAAGGTTTAGTGAAGTCACATTTGAATTTCAAGTAGAGCCTTAAATGGCCCTTGTCTGGTTTGTGTTATTCTGTGCAGAAGAGTTTGCACTCTTTGCTGGAAAATGATGAAGAATATAATATAGAATCCCATTTAGGAAAGCAGTTAAGTCACTTACTTTTGTCCTTCTTGGCTTTTGTGTTTTTCCTAATGGGACATAAGTTCATGCCTGAAATTAAAGCTTAACTTTTTCTCTTAGTTTTTTTTGTTTTTCTCTCAAGTCTCTAGTGATTCAACCAGTAAAGTTTCAAACAGTCTGGATCTGTGACCTTACCTGGCATTGCTTAATGGTAATCTTTTTAAAATTAGAAAAAGGAAGTAATTCTACCTTTAGTATTTTTCCTGCTTTAGAAACACATAGATAGAGAATACATGAGAGATAGAGAATTCCTTCCTCAAATCCCCAGTAACAATCATCCCCAAAACCCCACATAAAGCTTAAGTACTGTATTCTGAAAAGATAACTTTTCACTATCACATTTCTAGGCTATCAGATTCAAGCAAAATATGATGGATGAACCAAGTATTGACTTGAGATACAGCCCTCAATTTAGGAGAACAGACATTTGTTATGAGTGTTTTGGAGCTCCATTATGCCATTGTACTGCTGTGCAACTTTGAAGCCTGAGGATTCAGTCTGTTTTCCCAGGCACATACACCTGAAATTCCATAGAAGATGACAAATTGAAGAAACTCAGTGTAAAGAAGGTTTAATTATACAAAGTGGAAATAAAAGTACAATGATAATTCTGAAGAATTTCAGAAATGTTATGAGAAATTCTGAAAAGTTTTTGTTTTGCTGCCCAGTTTTTGTTTTGGTGGGAAGCAACTGGGCCTTCCTGTGCTTCTGCCTTTGCGAGGCAGCCCACGACTTCCTGATGGCTAAAAGATGCTCATCTTGGGCAGGAGTAATGGGATTCATCCTGACTGGTGCTGGGAGAACACCTGGATTACCAATTCACAGCATCACAGAATCAGTCAGGTTGGAAAAGACCTTTGAGACCAGAGTCCAACCTGTGCTTGATCCCCACCTTGCCCCCAGACCAGAGCACTGAGTGCCATGTCCAGTCATTCCCTGGAAACCTGCAGGGACTCCACCACCTCCCTGCTCAGTCCATTCTAATCTGAGGTCTAATTACCCCTTTGTGAAGAAATTCCTCCTGATGTCTAACCTAAACCTCCCCGGTGTAGTTTTAGTATGTCCTCCCATCCTGTCCCTGTTGCCTGGGAGCAGAGCCCAACACCCCTGGCTGTCCCCTCCTGGCAGGGACTTGTGCAGAGCCACAAGGGCCTCCTGAGCCTCCTTTTCTCCAGGCTGAGCCCCTTTCCAGCTCCCTCAGCCCTTCCTGGGGCTCCAGACCCTTCCCCAGCTCTGCTTCCTTCCCTGGACACGCTCAAATGTCCTTCCTGAACTGAGGGGCCCAAAACTGGACACAGCACTCCAGGGTCTGGCAGACCTGTGCTCCTATTTGTCTCCCTGCAAGCAAGGAAATCTTCTTCAAGCTTTTAAACAAAGCACACTTTTGCTCAGAATATATCTAGAATTCACCATGTCTACTTTTCCAATAGACAGCTCCACACAGCAGTGTCTGTATCTCTGGAACTCATTTCTACCAGCTGCAGGTCTGACTCACTGTGTCCAAATGCAACTGAAATGTCTTTATATCCTCAACTCCACAATACATCTCCAGCAAGCGTAGGACTGCCCACCAGAAAATTGTGAACCATCTGCCTGTCCTACTTAATAAGCCTTAATGTTCAAGAAGTAAATTAAATATTTAATAGTTACAGAAATCAGGCCGCCCTAATGCCAAACACAAAATGACCAACAGAATGTGCACAGCTGCATTTCTGCCTCTGTGGATGGAGCTGAGGAACTCTTTTGATGCCAGACACTCTCTGCAATTTGTATTTCTTAGTGAGCAACCTTCAAGAGGAGGAAGTCAAAACTAGTATAAATGCCACAACAAATTCTAATCATTAAAATTAGGTTATCAGTTTAAATGACGGGAATATATTTGGAAGACAACTCTAAGAGCAAAGAGATTGCTCTTTTTGACTGCAAAAGCAGTCATCACCTTTACTTTGCAGCCTTGCAGAGCGCCTTCCAGGCTAAGAGGCTCTACCAGATGCAGAGTTCTTAATGCATTTTAGCCCTTTTCAGCCAGACCATTGTAGAGAATGTGCTTCAGCCACTGCATACACCTTTTTTCTATTCCTAATGTAGGGAGCCAGCTGATGCCTGCTGTACAACATCAGTTTCTTTTAACAGTATTCCTAGTTTTCCAAACACTGATGGGTCTTCATTTACATCCACTGCTAATTCATCAGTTACTGAATTCCTAATTTAACAGCTCATAGCTGAGGTCCACAAATAATGCATTCTGTAGGACTTCCATTTTTATCACTGAAACCTGGCAATGAAGCGTAGCCATCTCATTTTATTCTGTTTGCTTCCCATGAGTACTCCAAATCAGTACTGTGGATGATCTAGCAAGATGTTGCTCTTAGATCTAAAGTTACATCCTAATATTTTAAGAAAAACTAAGAACATAGTCTAGGCTTTAAGGTCACTTCCCATCCAAACCATTCTGTGAGTCTGTGATCTTTAATACAAGATATGTGCAAATGTGATAGAGTGGAGAGCAAGAGACACAGGCCAGTAAAGTGTCATCATGGGACTCTCTAAATGATTACAGATCCCAGGACCAGAAGAGATAAATAAGCCCAAAATAACAATTTCTGTTGCAGAGAACAATGGTTCTCCTGCACAGGTTCTGACAAGCTGATTGATTATTCTTCATTAATGTTTTGTTATTACTTAAGTATTTTTCTTTCCTAGTAATTGTATTTTGAAAAACAAACAAAAATTACACTAAGTCTGAACTATTAAGCAAAATGCAGTTATATAACACAATACATTTAATTAACATCACAAAGCATAAAGAAATGTATGCTGAAGTCTCAGAATCGCATACACTGAGCTGACTACATTCTGACTACAGAATGACAGATTCTGCAAGGGATCAGAAACAAGTGAGTTTCCTTTTTTCTCTCATTTCTTAAATTCCATTTTGGCAAGGGGCAAGGTTAGAGGGATAGAGGGGTGAGCTAGTGGCTTTTTTTTTTTTTTTTTTTTTTTTTTTAATTGGAGATGATTTAACATGTACTCCTGTAAGACCTGCATTGCTATGGCAGCCTTCTAAAAAAATAATTAAGGTAATTAAGGCGTATCACACACATATTGGCATGTAAGCACTCGTGAAGTCCAGAAAAACAGAAACATCTCCATATTTTCTATTTGATATACATGAATCCAGGCACGGGTTGATTAGAAGTAATTTCCTTTCTTAAATACATCATCATCTAGCTCTAACTTCTCTAAGCTGTGACTCAACAGTTTGGCGCCAGCTCGGGCACTGTGGCAATGGCTGGCTGGGCATGGGGGGGCCCTCACAGCTGTGGCGGGAGCCCTTCGCCCTCAGGGCGGCCCTCGGCCCTTCCCTCAGGGCGGCCCTCGGCCCTTCCCTCAGCACGGCCCTCGGCCCTTCCCTCAGCACGGCCCTCGGCCCTTCCCTCAGCGCAGCTTTCGGCGCTTCGCACCCTCAGCGCTTCCCGCCCTCAGCGCTTCCCACCCTCAGCGCTTCCCGCCCTCAGCGCTTCGCACCCTCAGCGCTTCCCGCCCTCAGCGCTTCCCGCCCTCAGCGCTTCCCGCCATCGCGGCACGCTCAGCACTGTTCAGCACTTCAGCTCCTTCCGCACTGTTGTGGGTTGCACTGTCATGGATCGGCTCCTTTTGTTCTGTAAAGTTCCACCTGGCGGTGCCGGAACTGGTTGTTTTCCAGCAGTTCTCCACAAAACTGAACTGCTGGGAATGAAAAGAACATTTTGGTTTCTCCTAAACCAAGGGTGCTTCAAACTAGTATAAATACTCCCTTAAAAGTGAGTTTCATTATATCACTAAAAATTGTAAACTAGCCAAGTTCCATCCATGCTTGCTGGGTTGAAGCAAAGCTCAGGTCTAAGTGCAGCAACAAAGATTACCTTCCTCAGTATCCATATCTGCTTCCTAAGTTCTGTGCACTAGAACAGCACACTGTAGGGATACAGAGATGATGCACAGAAGCTGTGACACTCCATCCAGACATTTCCAGAGTCTTAGAACATCATTTCCTACTCCTCTTTTGTCAAGGTCTGGTATGATTTATATTCCCACTGCTCAACACCCAAGGGATTGCAGAGCCCACAGCGGAGCAAAAGTCTCTCTGGTGGCAAATACAGAGGTTGTCCAATATTGCCCTTGACTGTTTACTATTAAATCATCGTTTGAAGGTTAACTTTAAAGGGTCACTTCCCTGTACCACTGTCCAAGTTTGGGGAAGAGCTTCCACTGGTCCTTTGACACCAGATGCGTGAGACCACTCCTTTTCTGCTGTAAATGTTTCAGCTGTTGAAACTGCCTGAAAGGGACGTTCCCATGCTGGTGGTTAAGGTATCATCTTTCCTAGATTTTATTAGAAGCAAATCTCCTGGTTTTACCTGGTGTAATGAAAGTCTAGAGGTGATGGTGGGGGTGACAACTCTTTTCTTCTAAGATCCCTGAGAGAAAGTGTAATTGCCTGCAAATAATTTCTGAGAGTCATTAGTCATTAGTTTCAGCCATTGGCAACCCTTCCTCCCTTCCCAGATAAGATAACCAAAATAACATTTCATAGGGAGAAACTCCTATGTCTTTTCTTGGAGCAGTTCTGATCCATAAAAATGCTAATCTGGTTTCAATCATTAATTTGGCAATGTGGTTATTAAGGATAGCATTCATTCTCTCCATACATTCGAAGTTTTGAGAGTACCATGGGGTATGAAATTTCCAATTTATGTCAAGTGCAACACACAGAATGTAAAATTTTTGAAGGAAAGTGTATTCTCTTATCTGAGTTCATTCTTTCAATTATCCCATGTCTGGAAATTATTTGTTCTAATAGCATCTTAGCCACTTTGGAGGTAGCTGCAGTTGAGGTAGGAAAGGCTTCTGCCCGCCCAGTGGGTGAGGTGATCAACTGTTACAAGAAGATATTTCCATCTCAGTATTTTGGGGAATTCAGTGTGATCCATCTGCATATTTTGAAAGGATCTAAGGACTAGGTCTCTTCCCTCACTAGGATGTTTTCTCATCACTTTCTTATTTATCTTGTAACAAATGGAGTATTGTTCAGTCACTATTTGGCTGCTGTATAGAATGCCTCACAGCAACAAGTTCTTAAGAATTGATGACACAGTGCTTGAGCTGTCCAGTGTATTCCTTGGTGTAGCTTAATTAAAATTTCTCCAGCAATTGCTTTATTCATTATTTGTCTCCCTTCCCTGCCCAGCTGCGACTGGAACTACACCAAAGGGAAAGTGCCTGCAGCCGAGAGAAGGCTGTGGTTTGGTATTTGGTTCTGTTTGTTGTTGCTGCCAGCGTTGTTTGTTTGCCTTGTTACACATAGTAGTAAAGAAGTGTTGCTCCTTTTCCCATATCTTTGCCTGAAGGGCCCTTAATTTCAAAGTTACAATAATTTGGAGGGAAGGGGGTCACATTCTCCATTCCAGAGAGGTCAGGCAGACACCTGTCTTTGCAAACAAAACAGGCTGACAGCGATCTGTGAACAACTGTTTAATGAACAGTGATTAATAGTTAATTACCATTTAACTAACAATTGGTTAGTTAAATGATAATGAGGAGGTGGAGCTGGAGCTTGAGAGGGTGGCTGCAGAGGTCTCAGGTAGGAGGTGGGAGACCATCAGCAGCAGCAAACAAGATGTTGCCAGCTCCTGCTGGATGCTCCAGCTGACACAAATGTTGTCACTCGGGTGTTGGCTGCCAGCGCACCTGCTTCTTGGGTCTCTGGCCTTCCTCTGCCTGCCGTAAGGCAGAGCGTTTCTCTCTATCAAAACTCTTCTGGTCCCGGGCTCTGCCCTTCAGAATCACCCGCACCCTCCTGTGACTCGGCTCCAGGTTAGGAATGCTGGGAAGAGAGGGACTGCTATTAGCCAGATAAACATTTCCAGCCAGACGCTTTTCTGTCTCCTTGCAGAGCACACAGTGTTGCATCCTCTCTCTGTGCAAGCAGTGAGCAGCAAATGAAACAACTGCACTCACTCCTTGGAGGCTGCAGAGGTGCAAGGGCAGGAACACAACCAGTTAAGTGCCTGGGGACCAACTGCATTACACGGGGCTCGTGTAGAGAAGCAGGCCTTGCTTGTCCCAAAAGGAAGCAGAGCTAGGGACTGGCTTCTTCCTGGATCTCTTGTTTCAGATTTTGCAACCCTGCAGGAGCTTAATGTTTCATACAGTGTCTTTTGCCAGTGTCTCCCTACCAAGGCCAGATGATCACTCTGTGCTCCTGTGGGAGCTGCTGCTTCTCTTGGGCTGCTTGTCTCCAGGCCCACCTCCCCATCCCAGTCAGAGGGACTGAAGGGAGGGTGTTAGGTGATGAACCAGGCTGTGCTTGGTGATGCCCAGCAATAGCACAAGAGGCAGTGGGCAGAACCTGAACAGGAAATTCCTCCATCCGAACTTGAGGAAGAACGTCTTTCCTGTGTAGGAGACAGCTGCCCAGAGAGGGTGTGGAGTGTCCCTCACTGGAATTATTCCAGAGCCCTCTGGACACAACCCTGTGCCACGTGCTCTGGGATGACCCCACGTGAGCAGGGAGGTGGGAGCAGATGACCTCCTGTGGTCCCTTCTACCCTGTTCCAAGCTGTGATTCAGTGATACCCATCAGAAGCGTGAGTTGGCAAGTACGTAGACGTTTCCCACCTGCACAGCATGGTGATCTCAAAGTTCCCCACACACTTCGGGGAGAACAGCACTTGGAAGGTCTGCTGCTGGCCAGGAGCGATGGTGCCGTGGTCGGGGTCGATAGAGAACAGGGGCACGTCATGGACGATGTCTGGGAAGATTTCCAGGGAGGAACTGACACGCTCCAGAGAGAGCTGCTTTTGCTTAGAGCGGCGTAGCTTCTTGGAACGGTCCTTCTGCTTGGACTGCTTCTGCTTGGAATCCTGCTGCTGCTTGGACTGCTCCTGTTGCTGCTGCTCAGGCTCCTGCTGCTGCTGCTCAGAAGGCTGCTGCTGCTTGGAATCCTGCTGCTGCTTGGCAAGCTCCTGTAGGCGCCGCAGCTCAGAAGGATGTGTCTTAAAATGAGAGCCCTGCTGCCACCAGAAACTATGCACCAGCTTTCTGTACTTCTTTACAGTAGCAGAAGAGAGCAACTGACCTGCAGAGAGGAAGAGGACACCATTCAAAGACAAAATCCTATGTTCCCAGCAACTCTGCCTCCTGCAGCACATAGGTGGAAGAGAGCTGGGATGCACTTGGAGCATCTCTGGCCAAATACTTTATTCTAGCAGAAAACAGAGCTTCTGGGAGCAGGGTCTCTGCCTGCAGCACACACTCCTGTGCCAAAGCAGGAGTTGGTTTTAGACAGTGACTTTGCATCTGCCCTGGAGTGGGGAACTGCACACAGACAGTGGCTGCAGGGCAGCTCACTCGTTACACCATTGTTCTTCCCAGTCTCAGACTTCTCAAAGCAATGACCTGATGTCCCCCCTCCCAGTCCTGACCCAGCACATGGCTCTCCCCAGAGCCTGGCTCAGCTCCTTTGCAGAGCAGAAGTGGCACAGCAAGAACAGAAGGGGCTAAAAGGCAGAGGTGGGCAAGGAGAAAACTCCAGTTACAGCTGGGAAGATGTTGATGAAAGTGGAAGCGTGGACAAGGATGAAAAAGCAATTCATGTTTTGGGGTGAAGTGGCAGGGTCTTCTCCCCAGGCCCTCAGCTACCAAGTGAAATGCCCTTACGCATCAGAGTGGTTGAATAGGGCTTGCTCACTGGTTCATAATCTGCAGCTTCTTCCCAGAAGTATTGCAGGGCTACCTTCCCTGTGTTGTCCATCCTGAAACTGAAAAGCAAGAAGGAGGAATTAAAAAAATGTCCAATAAATATAAAGCAAATAGTACAGTAACACTGTCTGAGGGACTCCTGGTACAACTTTCTGCTGAGGAACATCTTCTTCCCCAGGCAACCCTGCCATGCTCAGACTGCTGTCCTGGGTGGCCCAGAAAAGTATTTCCAAGTCTGAAAGTTTAAGAGGAAAGGGCCAACATGGTGTCCAGGACACTGAAGCTGAGGGGCTTACTCTGGACTTTAGGTCTTGGTTTGACTGCAGACTTATTCCTGAGCAGATGAGGACAGGTGACACGCAGTGAAAGCAAACCCATGGCTGTTCTCAGCAGAATGGCAGCATTGAGCCTCTCCTGACCACCCTCTCCTGCTTGGCTTTACGTGCACGTAAATGGGCCTGTGCTGTTTTGGCTGGGGTAGAGTTCTGGGAAGCAGGCACTGGGTCAGCCCTGGGAAAGGCAGCTCCTGCTCACAGGGCCCTGCCTGGCCTCAGCACTCACGTGGCTGTACTTGTCTCGAAGGGCAAGGTGTCGTTGAGATGAACCACAATCGTGCTCAGTTTGAACTGGGCGTAGCCAACCACGGCACTGAGGTACACCTCAGTCTCCTGGCTGCTCTCCTCCCGCACAGTGTGAGCCGGTTCCTCGACTATCTTGACTATCTGCAAACGGAGGAGAAAAGAATCACTGAGCAGAGCCCAGAAAGTCAGGCTGAGAAGGGAATCTTTTGGTCTCCAAGATCAGCCTCATAGAGGGATTAGAAAGGACCATTCACTTTTACTTCTCTGGAAAGATGACAGAATTGGGACTGTTGTGCTGCAGTAGTTGTTTCTACCCACTGATCAAAGCAGTCACTACCACAGCTGTTAATGTACCCATGGAGACTGCATTCCAATCCCTGTACTTTAAGCTTGGAGAGGGACTGACTTTTTTCCTGGTCCCCTATAAATCCAGCAGGTCTCAAAATAAGGGTGAAGTTCCCCTGCTGGAGCTCTGTGGATGGAGAATCCCAAGAATGAAGAGTTCTAGAAGCACCTTTTTCTTCTTGTCTTAGGAGGAAGTGCTCTCCAGATGTCGTGTGGAGCAACAGCCACACTGCTGGCAGCTGGGGATGGGCATTTTGGGACGTGAAAGATCTCACTAGGAAAGTCTCCAACTGCAGATGTTCTGATAGAATAGAGGATGGTTTAGAGGCCTTAAAATGATCCAGAAACTCAGAAAGAGCCTTCACCCAAGATGAGTGTGTT